AAATGAAATAAAATTGCTTCTTTAGCTCAATTATGTCCCAAAAATTAGAAGATTTTCTAAATTTCTAAACTAGAAGAGACTCTAATTAAAGAGTCCTTTAAATATCTATTTGTAACTTGCATCTAGATGAATTAAAATATACCTTATTATTGCGTATTAACTTCAGCATAAGATTATAAAAATCACAATTTAAATCAGCATGATTTGCAATACTAAGAAAGAAAGAAAGAAAGAAAGAAAGAAAGAAAGAAAGAAAGACCAGGTTCTAGAGGAGCTTTGAAGGTCACTTACTCCAAATTGTTAAAAGCAAGGCCAACTCCCAAGTTAAATGAGGTCACACAGGGCTTTTCCCAGCCAAATTCTGCAAGTCTCTCAAGGATGATGATTACACAATCGTCTCCGGGCACCTGTTCCAGCACTCAACTCCAAGTGATTTTTCTTTTCTTCTCTGACAATGGGAATTCCAATGGGATGCAACTTGCAACAACTGTCTCATGTCTTCCCACTACACATTTGGAAAGTGTTTGGCCCTATTCTCTAATTCTCCTACTCTCTCATCTGCTTTTAAGTTCCCTTACCTCCAGTCTTCTCTTGTTCTGGCTAAGCAAACTTTCTATACACATCACGCAGCAACCTCCTAACCATGTTTCACCAGTTTGTTGGCATCTCTCTTGCACTTGAGGGGAAAGCGGAACAAAACTGGACACAATATTTTAGATKTGTATTATTTTAGCTCCAGCCTTGCAAATGCCAAGCAGAAGGGAACAATCCCTCCTCTTGTCCTGATTGCTGCTCTCCTGCCCATGCAGTCTGGCACACAGGGCGTTTTTATTGATGTAAGGGCTGGCTGCCGACTTGTCCCTCCCGGGAGGCTCCCAGGGTCATTTCTACAGAGCTGCTATGAAACCAGGCAGGCCCAAATCTGCACCAATATGAGCCTGGATTACACACCGGGATTTGCAAAACACAGGAGAGACTAACAAAAAAAAAAAAAAAAAAAAAAAAAAAAAAAAATCAAGTGTTGCCCATAAAAGAAATATTAATTTCCCCTTGTCCATAGGGCCAGGTTTTATTACAGAAGACAACCCTTTTTTTAACATGTTTTGCCCTTCGTTAACCACACTAGCAGCTTCCAATCACGTTCTTTCCTTCACATCCTTCAAAACAGCTTTCCTGAAGATCTGCTCCACATCTTTGCAAAGAACTGCGGTGAGGATGCCTGCACTTCCCCATATTCTCCTCATTTTTACTAYGAAAGGAACAGTGAGGCCAGAATATAGCAACAAAGAAAAAAAAATAGAAAGCAAGATCTAAGATCTAGGTAGGTATCCAAGAAATGTTCTACAGAACACCCGAGTTTCATTTTTGCTCGTATTATGACCACTTCCGTGCCAAGTACTCAGAATTTTGCTGAAGTCAGACCATTTTTTCCTCAGTACCCAAGCATGAATTTGTGGAAGACTTCTGTACAACCCCAACAGCACTGCTCTTCTGTAACCTCCTGGCTGCCTAATCAGCAAAAACGCAGCTTGGAAACAGCMACAGCATGGGTTATCTCTTGCATAGCTAATTGACAGGAACACAGAACTGTAGGTATTTGAAGAATTTGAGAAGGGAGCAGGAACATTACAGAATATTATGAAAAGTAGTCTGGGGGAAGAGATATCGGTCATTCCARTCAGGAGACTGAGGAGAAAAGAAGGAAAAACAAATGAAGGAAATCYTTTTGACTGTGTCTTTGCATTTTTGTAATTACCAGGCAAAAGACTGACAACCCAGTGACACAGAAAAATAAAGAGAGAATCGTTAATGTTACATCACCTTATATAGATATCTAGGTCAGGTTTTTATTATTTCAATCACTACTCAGAACTGCAAAAAAATGGGATAAACTGCATACTAAGTCCTACTGCAAAGATACACCTACTTTAATAATATGTATTTATGCTAACATCTGAAAACAGTTGAAATAATTTTTTTTTTTTTTTTTTAATTCTCCCTCTGCAACTGGAGGAAAATGAATTTTAGGCAAGCTCAATTAGGCTTCTACTTGGAAAAAAATGCTGGTTCCATTTACATACAGCCCCATAATCCATCCAGTTACATGAAACACCTTTAAGCACTCCTTCAGTACATGCCACAGAGGACTTCATCTGCGGTGGTTTCCCTGTATCACATTCTTAAATAAGTGCTGGTCACAGTAAAAGCACATCCTACCATAAACTTATCAAAAACTACAATTGTCTTGCCCTTTCTAGACACATTCTCTTTTCTTCTCCTGTGCTTTCAGCACCATGCATAATTTGGCTCGGAAATGTGAAGGACTGTATTTGATTCCAAAAGCAAAATAGTATAGTTTATAACAGTTTATTCTTAACAAAATACTATATTATGGTGTTTGTAAAAACTCTTCTGAAAGACCTGTTTTATTATCCAACACAACCACAGCAGTAGGGGAATAATATATTCACTTTTATCCTATAAATTACTCCCTTAAGCATATCTATTGCTCCAACTTCAGAATGGCACTACATGTTACCTGTCTTCAAAACAGTTGTGAATCACATAAATAAAAGTTGTTGCTTGAGGCTTTCAAAGGTATAAGGATCTTTCAAACTATCCATGGATTACTCTTCAGATGACAATCTGAAATTCTGCAGATACTTCGAAGCAGCTGGTAAATCTAGCTAAATCTGTTAAATCTTCACTCAACTACTGCCTGAACCTGCTAGACTGGTCTGCTCTTCAGGAACATTTGCTTTGGCCATTTACAGAGAATACAGTTAGTTACACCTACATCAACAATTTCAGGATGTCACAGAAATGAATAACCCTGCACTTGTCCTCTCCCCACTCATTCCCAGGGACTGTCTGCTCTTGATACCTCTTCTCTCACATTGGTCTAGAAATTAGGCTTGTTGCAGGGTGTGTCGGTTCAGCTTCCTGCCAAATGAGCCAGCTGGTTCTCTTTGAGCGTGATTTAACTCTGGCTAGTTTCTTGAACCAGGCTATCCTTTCAGACACGTGAGCTCTAAATCTGCCAAAAGGAAAGGTTAAAGAATGCACTGATCAGGGCAGCATCAAAGGGCATGTCTGTATCAGAAAGGATGAATCAGGTACTTTCCTGGTCAATTAGTTTTCACACTATATTTCATTAACAGTTGCATTCAAATTACAAGGGAATCTTATATTTATTGTTTTATGACAGCACTAAACAAGCAAAAAAAAGTATAAAGGCAGTCAAGTGACAGGAACATTAAGTTTCAGTCAACCATGAGAAATTAGAAGGTAAAAGAACAGATGAAAACTTGTACGTACCACATTCAAGCTAGTTAACCCACTCTCAAAACATACACATTGCTGAGAAAGATAGAATGCAAAACATGCAAAAATATGAGAAGTAACTGAATAGCAAGATCTAATTGTTTAGAAACTAATTTCCCTTTAAGGCATTAATAAGACAATAAAGGGGAATGCAAGTTTAAAAGGATACTTGCCTGGCTAAAATGAATGGGGCAGGGAACAAGCAGAATGAAAGGTGTTTTAAAGATGAAAAACAAGAAACATGATATAACCACTTTGATGGATCACAGACACTATAAAGTACCATTGAAACAGACATATGGGATAAAGAGGTTTCAGCTTAGATCAAGAGTAACTACAAGCTAACATGAAGGGGAAAAGAGAAAAAAAAAAAAAAAAAAAAGACGAATTCTCTCCCTTCCCTGGCTCTTGAAATATATTCTCATCCCTTTCTTGCACAGGAGACAGTGTAACCACAGAGTAAGGCCATTCAGCTTGCTGACAGGGTGAAAAAATAACCTGCCAAAAAGAAGTTCCTCCCACAAGGGCCAGCTTATCAATTCACACTGTGGCCTCATAACCACAGAGCCAAAGCAAGCGAAGTAGAGAACCACAAAGCTCTGGCTCGTTTCGGCAGCAGCTGACAGTTATCTCTAACASAGCACAAGGTGAAACTGCATTCACAGAACGACTTCGGGACAAGAGAGATTACACACAAACCAAATACTAAAGCAAATTCAGAAAAGTGATGTGATTCTTTTTATTAGAGAGTGAAAACCTTATGAGACTAGTAGTTTCATTTCAACAAGTGATCAGATGGAGACTTCTCAGTTCCAAAAACATACATTGTGTGTAGTAATGACTTGTGGCATTCCAAAAAAAAAAAAAAAAAAAAACAGAATAATACAGAAATAATCCAGCTAAGGAAAAACTAAGGAGAAAATAACTGTATGAGATGACTAAGGTAAACTGCTATACCTCCAATAAATCCACAATTGAACTCAAAGAGCTAAAGTTGCAAGATTCTAACAGATTTTACTTCAATAAATGCTAAAGATGTATTAACTGGCAATGCTGTAAGTAGCATCCTTACCCTTCTGCGTCCAGCTGATGCAGCCATCAACTTCCTCAACCTACTTCCTCAACCAAACTGGCTGACAACTAATCCAGAAATCAAAATTAATCAAGACTCATATACAGTCAGAAATGCTTGAGTAAGAATGACCATTTAGTAATTCTGCCCAAGAGGTAAAAACTAATGACTTAGAGTCTTCTTTAAATGGCAAGTCAGGCAATTTTCCAGAAACTCTGGAAAAAAAAAAAAAAAAAAAAAACCCACTTCTTAGTTTAAAACTAAAATAAAAATCAGAATACCATTGAGAATTCTAATGCACAAAAATTGTTCGTAGTAGTCAAGACATGGCTGCAGCAGAAGCAAAAGGAGATTATCTTTTATTGCCTAATTCTTAAACTATTTATATGTTTCTAAAACCTGTCTTCACTATTGTCAGAAGAGTATTGTGTTCCTGGTGATTCAGGTACTGTTAAAAGGAAGAACACTACTTAAGTTAAATAAATATTTTAAAACAATAGGGTATCTGGTTAACCTAAAGAGGTTTATAGAATTTACTCTGAATTCGTAACAAAATAGCAAATTTAAACTCAATACAGGTTACACATTCACAAACCAAGCTCACCTGCCTTAAGACACATAAGCAGACAGATCTCTGCTTCGTTTTCCAGAGAACTATATCAGCAACTTTCTTTCCTGTAACATCACAGGACAGCACTGTTTAAATTGCTGAAGTTAAAGGGAAAATTCTCCACATGAATATTCTTACCACAAGTTAACAGAARACTTAAAATGCGTTTTATCATTCTTCAAAAATCAGATGAGGATTTTTAAAATAATTCAAGAAATTAGATGCAGACTTATCTCACCAAAAATAATTCTGCCTACTAGTATTGTTAGTAATAATGCTTACTTCATCTATTCACTTCATTCAAAATCCAAAAAAATGCAACATTTCGCTTTGACAATGAATCACGAATATGACTAGAGCAATAAAATGAAATCCCAACCAAAAGTATTTGTTGCTATTAGGAAAAGTAAAAATTTGTTGTGGGGTCACTTTGTTGTTTGACTGTAATAACTTTATTCTAAGAATCACATAATAACTTAGGTTGGAAGGAATCTACAGAGGTCATCTAGATGATCCTCCTCTTCCAAGSAAGGCTAACATAACAAGTAAATCTTTGTTACACTACTATTTAACATAGGAAGTGATCACTCTATAAAACAGGTAGTGCAACAGGTCATTTTAGTACTCCAGTTCTCTCAGCAATCATTGTGACAAGATAGCCATGGGCAAAACAAAACAAAAAAAAAWATAMAACAACAACAAAAAAAGAGCAGAGTTAAGTTCATTGTCACAGCGATGCAATTGTACAGAATTATCTTCAYTGCATGTTTAAGAAAATAAGGGAAAGCACAGGATGACTTTACCTTCGTTGATGATGGAGCACATTTCAGACTGTTAGCAAATTCACAGTTCATTATAGAAGAAAGAAAATTGTGGAGGTGAAGAGTGAGGGAAAAGTTGAACATTATTGGTATCTAACTACATTAAAGACATAAAGGAAGCCCATTAAAAATGAAAGGCTAAACACAAATAGGTGACACAGAGACAGTTAGGGCAACACTATAAATATCTAAGTATCCAAATATCCAACAATAAAATCATCTGATTCCCCACTTCTGTCAAGATGACTTAATTTAGGCACTTTCATTCCTCTGATTTCCTAAGAAATCATTTTTACGAAACTGGGTTAGGGAGATATTGGGCAAGCAGTCACGTGTGATAGCGTGTCTGAGGAAACAAGTGACAGGAAGTGCAAAGCGGTGACAAGTGGACAGATAGGAATGGAGCAGGCAGGGTAGGGCACCAGAAGAAAAAAAAAAAAAAGAAAAGAAAAGAAAAAAAACACACCACCACTCACCAAAAGACAAAAAAGTTAACACAGTCAGACAACAAAGCAAAGGAGGTCACTGAAAGTGAAGAGACGTCAAAGGCAAGATCTTATCTAAGTGAAATAAAGCACTAGGAATTAATAAGGAAATAAAACCAACCAAGACAGCAAATATTGTTGCACCCCTATGCAGAACGGGACTTCAATAGCAGAGTACCCAAAGAGTAAAGTGGCAAGAAATTTAAAAAAAAAAACAAAAAAAACCCAACACACAGTCTGACAGGGATGGCATTTGGAACAGAGGACAGCAACAGTATGAAGACTATGAACCAAACAACTGACGAGTACAAAGTAAACCTGTAAGACAAGAGCTGCACAAAGAGGTCATCAATGAAGTATTTCCCATTTCTCAAGACACAAAGAWGTCAGACCCATCAAGCAGCAGCTTCAAACAAACCAACCAACCAAWAAATAAATAAATAAATAAAACCAACACTAACCAAAAGAAAGGAAGTATTTCCCACACACACATGCAGCCCATTCTTGTTGAACTGAGAGTCTCACTGCCACAGGAAGCTGGAGGCCAAAAGCCACATTCCTCTTTGACCCCATTTTTAGAAGTCAGGGCTGGCCCATTGCTATCTATTAAAAGATATGGTCAAAATGCAAACACTGCTGAGAGAGTCCATAAATTAATAACTGGCAGAAAACGTCAATGAAGAACTTTCTATGCCTGACTTGTTTTTCGTACCCTTCTCCTGCATACCTCCGTATGCTGTACACCTCATACCTCCATACACCGTACACCTTAGCAAGGGCCAAGCTGACAAATTCTCCAGCAACATTTGATGACAGCACTCTGTTAAAATGTCCCCACCCTTAATGAATTCCTAAATGACTTTAAACTGAGATAATGACATTATTAAGTAATGTAAGTGCACATAGTTGCATCAGTGACTTGCAACATTACCTGAAGACTGTAGACTGTTATTCATTTTTAAGTTAGAAGAGCAAATCATGAAGTTGTATTTTAATTAGTTTTTGCAATACTACTTAACATTTAAACAAACTAACACTCTCACTATACATGTTGGAAGTATTCACTTTAGTTACAAAGATGTTACAGAGTTTTTGTCTGCAGCATATTGGTGAAGAAAGCAAAAGATTTAAATAAATTTAATGTTCTATGAATTCACGGACTACAGCAAGTTACTACAAATATATTTGGGTTACAGAAGCTTTTATCAATGAAGATATATGTCCAGCTTCTTAAGGTACCCCACAATTACTAAATCTTCTAGAGATTAAATGTAGCAAATTTGAATGAAATAAATATGGATAAATAAATCAAAGCTAACACAAATTAAAAGAAATCAAATAAAGTAGGGCAGAAAAAAAAAAAGAATATAGCTAATAAGGTGGTGGCAAAAGTCCAGTAGGTGTTAGCGTATCACTGTGGTAAAACACCAGCTATTGGTAAGTATTTTACACTAAGGTAAAAAGCTAACCAAATGTAACAAGACACAGGAAATTTAGGTTTCACACCACAAATATAGCTCAATCCTCTTGAAAACATACGCTATATAAATAAACTTCTTGTAACTATACTAGGAAAATAGAAAAATTAGGTGTTATCTGGCCATAGAAATAAGCAGGGAGGATGCTATTAATACGTGCAGCTCTAATCTTCCTCTTAATGGCAACCTATCCAAAACAGCAAAAAGATAATTCTACCAGATACTGTCTTTTTTTTTTTTTTCCTTTTTCCCCTCAGAAAACATCTGAATAGATTTTTCCTTCAGCTAATCCATTTCTCCATCTACTTGCAGACTMACATACTGAACGACAGTGATTATTTGCCTTCTCTACTGCGCTAATAACAGAGCTTCAGCAGGCATCTCTGAACATAACTAGTGAATAATAGACGATATAAAGTCACCACTAATAACATCCGCTCTCTCCTCATCATTCAGAGTGCCTGGACAAAAAGTCTTCTTGCAAAATTAATCTCCAGCCATTGCAAGAACACTTGAGAGCCTGTTCCAAGGCATTTTGTGCTTCTGTCTTTCTCTTCCTGGTTCCTCCAGATTCATATTGTCCTTTTCTTAACTCTCCACAAGTCTCAGAAACCTATCCACAAATTTCCCACACAGATGCCTCCCCAGGCCTATCTCAGCCAACTCTCATATATGAAATCTCTTTCATATGCTGACATAAAAGACAAACAACCTCTTATCAGGAGCGAGCTCTACCATGACGTCAGTAAGAAAATAATCAAGTAATGGTTTCTCAAGGTAAACGTGAGGCCATTATTAAAACAAAACAAGAAAAGTTAGTGYAGTGCAAACTCAAGTTAGTTTACAAGAGGCTTCTTCATATCTTCCAGTGCATTTTTACTGTGTATTTTTCTATGCATTTTTCATTCACAAGAAAATAAGACTTGAAAATTTGGATGAAGGACAACATCTTCACCAAAAGCCCAGGTAGGAAGCTTTGAGATCCTTCTGCAATCCCTTATATAGGTGTTCTGCTTGCCAGTGTTCTGGCCAGAGGCATTTCTGTGTAATTGCCAACGCACACGAGCTCTTGCAGCAACTGATACTCACACAACAGCGCTCRACACAGCCGGTAGTCACCTCTGGAGTGGCAGTAACAGCTCATTACAGCTGTAATCAGAAGCAGCAAAACAAAGACACGGCATAAAACAATAATCTGTATTAATCTTGTTTACTGTCAGCCTGAATGCTGGACCAAGACCTTTATTAAAACACATACAGTACATACGGTATTCCTAGTTGCAAAATATTGTTGTTAGTACTTCAAACCTATTACATATAAACCCACAAGTATTTCACCTTTCAATTGTGCGCGACTGAGTTCAGAATTTTAGTTACATTTTAGCTTTACTAAAACACAATCCTTTACCCCACAGGAGCTGTCATCACAGGCCACAGCAGTAACCCAAATATCCATTTTTACTTTCCAGGTATCACAATGCAGCTCATAAAAACACAAGGAAGAGCAAGCCTTATCTATTCAGCACAATTCATACAGAGCATCAAAAAGTTATATAATTCTGTTTATATCTCTGACATTATTCTCTTTATCTCTGCCTGTATAAACAAATGCAAACTTCATTTCTCCTCCCCTATATCTGACTTATTTTGAAATACAAAAGAYGATTGCTTACAACACTACGCAATGCTCACAATACAACCCTGAAAAATGGAATCACATCTTTATAATCACGAGAAACGCAAGTCAGGAGCAGCGTTTCCGTAGCCTGATCCGCGCACCATGTGATTCTTCCCTCCTTTCCATGCATGAGAGGTGAGGAAGTGAAGCTGCCCCAAACCCACGGGCACTTCCATTTAAATGCTAAAGTATTACTCGTTAAAACACAAAATGTGTGAGCGGGGGGAGCGCAAGGACAGGCTATTTTTTAATATGGACAAAAAGCCCCCCCAAGACACACACCCTGGCACAACCCCTGTACCATGAGCAGCTCCTGCAGAGCCATGCAGAAAGTAACACAATCCACGCACAGACAACCGAGACGGAGATAAAGCCCGCAGTGGAAATGGGGGGAAACTCCGTAGAAAAAAAAAGGGGGGGCAGAAAACCAGTATTTATGCCATTCCTCCACACCTCCTATGCAGACACCCGTAATTTTTCAACGAAGCGGAGTGCAACCGAGTTTTGTCCAACACAGATTTGAACTGGCACGTTATGAAAAACAAAAGAACTTAAATTGGCTGTAGAA